GGCCTTTTCTCGGTCAGTCCGGTGAACTCTAGATCCGAGTAGAAAAGGTGTCGTCGGCTAATGCCATGTCCATGCGTATGTACCCGGATCACGGTTAAACCGAGTTGCACCCAGTCAAAAGAGCAACCAACCGTCTCGGATCGAGCTGCCGGTCTAGTTCAGTCGAATCAGTCCGGATAGTCTGGACGATTTGAGAATATCAGTTCGGAATGCCGGTTTGAGCGTGAACCGAGATTCGATATTTTTTCGAACTCAGTCAGATAAATCAGATCAGTCGGATAAGCTAGATCAGATAAATCAGTTAAGTAGGTCAGACTTAGAAATATTTCAGAGAACTTTAGAATGCCTCAAAGTCGACAAATCTTTCCAGAATAGCTCAAATCCTCTAAATCAAGATTAAATGATTTTATAATCGATCGAGAGAACCTAGTAAGATCAGATTAGAATAATAATCAAGTTTTCAGTTTGAGCTTAGTACTTAGTACATTTTGCTCAAATATTTATGTAGCTTAAGGAGAGTCGAGCCTCCGACAGCTGCCATCATCCAACACTTGCCTAACAGTAGTAGTTTACCAGGTGGGGGTCACGTACTGGTTATACATCGTCCTTAATTTCAGTACCATGTCCGAGGTATGTATGAGAAATAGTTAATTTACCATTGAGGGAGGCCGTGGCGGGCCTTACTGGTCCCCCGTGGTTCTGAGGGAGGCCTTAGGGGCCTTAATGATTCCCGGGAGTGTGCACATGATTTAGCGGCTTTAAGCCCAGGGTCTTTATGACCACTAGACGCCCAGTTACAGTTTCCGTTCAGTTCAGTACTTATACACTCAAGTCATGATATAGTTATTAATAATGTTGTTCAATTCAATACTGGTCTTTGCGGAGCATAGTGGTTTGCTCATGCCCCCATTATGTTTTTTCGGTGACCGAGCGGCGCGTGGCGCGTGAGGACTAGTGGCTCGTGGTCATGAGCAGTACTTTTTGTAACGCATTTGCATGCCATTCATATTAACATGTATTATTATTATTATGCGTGCACTTAGTATGTTTTACCTTCCGCACATCGAGACTGAGTATGTATTATGAGATATTCAGACTTATGCATGTGTGATGCCTTTATCTCCATGGTACATTTATATAATGGATTTGATTAGATTGCATGTATTTATTTACGTCTGTATGAGAAAGAGTTAAGTTAGTAATTAAGAGTTTTTCGAATAAAAAAAAAAGCAAAAATTTTATTCTGATTTTGTTATATTTAGAATAAGTAGGCGGGGTGGTACACTAAAAGTTTACAATAAATAGTGAGAAATATTCAACCTATTTTTTATTTTGTTTTACTAATATAGAAATTATAAAATAGTTTTTATTTTTCCTTCTTTAAAATCTGATAAATAAATTTCAATAATAATTCTAAATTCAAATCTTATTATAATTGATAATAATTCAAAATTTAAAACCTGATAATAAGATTTGCA